TGGAAGGTGCCTGTGTGCTCCAGCTGCAATAGTTATTAAGGCGGTGCATCCCTGTGCTTATTCAGGATAGTTTTCTTAAATATTTTTCCATCATTTGCAAAATACATTTTAATTCACAGCTTTTATATCTTTGATAGCTTTGTTACATGTTCCTTTATGTGTGACTCTGAAGCAGGTCTCCTAAAATATAAAAAATTGCTTACTGTTTAATGGGCTGTTATTATATACATGGACCTTAAACACAATCCCAGTGAAGACTTAGGGGGAAAGAAAAGTACAGACAATCCATCCACCATAAAAAATATGAAAGTAACCATGAGCCAAATACTGGTAAAAACTTGGATGTAAAAATCTACTGAGCTACTATTTTAAACAGAGACTGTTCATTTGTTTGTTTCCTGGCCACTCAGACCCAAATAATCACACAGAAGCTATATTAATTACAACATTGCTTATATAAGCCAATAGCTTAAGCTTCTTATTAACTAACTCTTACATCTTAAATTAACCCATTTCTATTAATGGATGGATCATCATGAGACTGTGACCTACCAGTAAAGTTTTCTGGCATCTTTCTACTTCAGCAGAAACATGGCATCTCCCTGACTCTGTCTACTCTTTCTATATATCTCTGTTAAGATTTCCCACCTGGCTTTATTCTGCTAAGCCATTGGCTGAAACAGTTCTATTCATCAACCAATAAAAGTGACACATATACAAAAGGACATCCCACATCATATGATCTCATAGATGTTTTTGTTTTATAAAGGAGGCCCTTATTCAAATAGCATGGCAGGTTTCTGTTGTAGCACTATCAAGATACAACTTAGAGGAAATGAAACTGGCAATTCAGCAGAGAGAAGATAAGCCACACATCAGGGTTGTGACTTGGAGCCTCCTTACTAATTATGTTTGTAAAAGCATGAGAGAAGTAAAGAGGAAATGGTTAAGCATAGAAGAGCAGAACATGGAGATTTAAAAAACTTCCCCACCAATATATGTTAACAACAACAACACAGAGCTCCTGTTCTGTCTTTAAATCATATAAATCTTATGCCTTCTTGTAAGAGAGTGCCTGTGAAGGGAGCACAAAGAATTGGGCTCAACAACAGCAGATGCAGAGCAGCGCCATCTTTCTCGTCAATTCCAAACAGCATCTTCAGTATCTCCTCTAACTGAGGAAGGCACCATGGTTTCTTTTTTTTGCCTTGAACCAACTCTGTACTGTGATTGTGTTCTCCAAAGCTTATGTATTACAAACTTCTCAAATTGGTTTCTTGATGATATTGTGAAGGGAGGTTCTTTGGGAAGAGATTAGATGAGTTACTGAGTGTCTCCCACTCCCATCCCAGAATGACTGGTCTACATGGCAATGCAAGGACTGTGATGAACCTAGATTACAGCAGTCATCCAAAAAGAACATTATTTTCTTATTTACTCTTATTAGACTGGTAGCCCTGTATATTAGTCATATACAGTGACTTTCTGAGAGAGACCCGAAGTCCTCCATCTCCCTAGCTCTTGTCATGTGATGGCCTCAGAACAAAAGTGAGAAATAAATTTCCTTTCTTATTCATCAAAGTAGCAGTAGGGAATAGGAAGGAGGGATCAGGTGGGAGGAAGGAGGGAGTACTGAGAGAGACTATTGGAATCTGGGGGCATCTCTGGGATGACCTAGAAACCTAGAGCAATGGAAACTCCCAGAAATCTATTAGGGTGACACTAGTTAAGACTCCTAGCAAAAGGGGAATGGGAACCTGAATGGACATCTCCTACAACCAGGCAAAACTTCTAGTGGAGGACTTGGGGCATCAACCCAGCCATAAATCATTCGACCTACAATTTGTCCTGCCTACAAGATGTGCTGGGGTAAAGATGGTAAAGAAATTGTGAGAGTAGCCAGTTAACAACTGGCACAGCTGGAGACTCATACCCTGAGAGGGAAATTACCCATTGAAGGCCAGGACCCAGAGGCAGAATATTTCAGAGGCATAGGATGGAACCAAACACGCCTGTATTGTCAAAAGGAAAAAACAGCAGACCACAGAATGAGAAAAGATCTTCAACAAGCCCATATCTGACAGAGGACATTGACAAAAAATACTTCTTACCAGGGTAGGGGCATAGGAATTGAAGAAATATAACTAAAGAATACGAAGATGCATAAAAATAATAAGACAGAAAACTAAGAGAGTAACAGAAGGGCATTCCAGTGACTGAAATCCTAAAATTTACCTGAATTTATTTTTCCACAGCTTTTATACCCACATAAACAGGTGCATAAGGTAATAAAAGACTTTATTACCTTATGATACAAAAGGATAACTCACACAGTCAATGGTTTTATCATTCTGAGACATCAAGTCACTGACATTCTGTTGCCTAGGTAGCAAAGGTGCTTTAGGTCATGTATTCTGAAGACGGCCCTTCCCTAGGTGACTTCAAAGTTACTAAAGAAGGAACAGAAGTACATTTGCATATACTGACCAACTATCAGGATGATATGAACTTACTAGAATGAGCTGTCTTAATTTTAAAAGAACTAAGCAATCACTTCCTGAGTTAAGACATGCAACTATGCTTGTCAATCTCCAAACTCTCTGACTTACAGGCAAGGTGGAAATGGACCTACATTTTTTGGCCTCCACACCCCATCCAGTGGCCCACTGGCAATGTCAGTTCTGTTTCTCCTCTACAGTGAGATTCATGCGCCACTCCCCCACCCCCATTTGATCCTTCCTTGTTAACTTAGCTTCTCTGAATCTGTGGGTTGTAGCATGTTTCTCCTTTATGGCTAATATCCACTTACTAGTGAGTATATACCATGTTTGTCTTTCTGGGTCTGGGTTATCATTCAGGATGATTTTTTCCATTTCCACCAATTTGCCAGCAAATGTCATGATGTCATTGTTTTCAGTGCTCCATTGTGTAATGTTCCACATTTTCTTTATCCATTCTTTGGTTGAGAGACATGTAGGTTGTTTCCAGTTCCTGGCTATTATAAATAAAAACTGCTATAAACATAGTTGTGTAAGTGTCCTTGTGGTATGGTGGAGCATCCCTTGGATATATGCACAAGACTGATATAGCTAGATCTTGAGGTAGAGTGATTCCCAATTTTTTGAGAAACTGTCATATTGATTTCCAAAGTACATGTTTGCACTCTACCAGCAGTGGAAGAGTGCTCCCCTGACTCCACATCCTCTCCAGCATGTTATGTGTGTTTTTGATCTTAGCCATTCTGACTGTTGTAAGGTGGAATCTCAGTATCACTTTGATTTGCATTTCCTCAGCCATTTGAGATTCCTCTCTTGAGAAATCTCTGTTTAGATCTGTACCTCATTTTTAACTGGATTATTTGATTTGTTGAAATCTAGTTTCTTGAGTTCTGTATATATTTTGATAGCAGCTCTCTGACAAATGTGGAGTTTGTGAAGATCTTTTCTCATTCTGTAGTCTGCTGTTTTGTCCTTTTGGCAGTGTCCTTTGCCTTACAGAAGCTTTTTGGTTTCTTGAGGTTCCATACATTGTCAGTCTCAGTGTCTACACCACTGTTCTGTTCAGGAAGTTGTCTCCTGTGCCAAAACATTGAAAGCTATTTCCCACTTTCTCTTCTATCAGGTTCAGTATATATGGTTTAATGTTGAGGTCTTTGATCCATTTGGACTTGAGTTTTGTGCAGGGTGATAGATATGGATCTATTTGCATTCTTCTACATGCTGACATCCAGTTAGACCAGCATCATTTATTGAAGATACTTTCTTTTTTTTTTCTATAATTTTGACGTCTTTGTAAAAAATAAAGTGTCCATGGGTGGGTGGATTTACATCTTCAATTCGATTCCATTGATCCACCTGTCTGTTTTATGCTAATATGTGGATATTTTTATTATTGCTTTGTAGTACAGCTTGAATCAGGGATGTTAATACTTCTGGAAGTTCTTTTATTCTACATGATTGTTTAACTATCCTGGATGTTTTGTTTTTCTATATGAAGTTCAGCATTATTTTTTCAAGGTCTATAAAGAATTGTGATGGAATTTTTATGGAGATTGCATTGAATCTGTAGATTGCTTTTTGTTAGGCTAATTCTGCCTATCTAAGACCATGGGAGATCTTTCCATCTTCTGATATCTTCTTCAGCTTTTTTCTTCAAACACTTGAAGTTCTGTCATACTTATCTTTCACTTGCTTGGTTAGAGTTACACTGAGATATTTTATATTATTTGTGGCTCTTGTGAAAGATGTTGTTTCCCTGATTTCTTTCTCAGCCCACTTATCATTTTGTATATAGGAAGGTTTCTAATTTTTTATTTAGTTAATTTTGTATTTAGCCACTTCTCTAAAGGTGTTTATCAGCTGTAGGAGCTCTCTGGTAGAATTTTGGGGGTTGCTTATGTATACTAATATTTCATCTGTAAATAGCAATTCTTTAATCTCTTCCCTTCTAATTTCTTCTTTGATGTCCTTAAGTTGCCTTATTGCTCTAACTAAAACTTTAAGTACTATATTGAATAAATAAGGGAAAAAAACTACTTGTTTGTTCCCAACTGCCCAGATTCCCAAAATAACCACACAAAACTCTATTAATTAAGTCACTGCTTGACCCATTAGGTCTAGCTTGTTATTGGCTAACTCTTACATCTTAATTTAACCAATTTCTATTAATCTGTGTATTGCCATGTGGCTGTGGTTTACCAGCAAAGGTTTGGCTCATCTGTTCATGCTGGTGGCTACATGGTGTCTCTTGACTCCACCTTTTTCTCTCAGCATTCAGTTTAGTTTTCCCTGCCTACTTTTATTCCACTGTGCACAGGCCCAAGACAGTTTCTTTATTAACCAATGGTATTCACAGCATACAGAGGGGAATCCCACATCACCTCCCCTTTCTGTTTAAATAAAAAAGAAGGTTTTAACTTTAACATAGCAAGATTTCATACAATAAAACATGTATCAAGCAAGAATTACAGTTACAATATTTATATCTATTTTATCTTTTATCATAACTAAGGAAAACTATTATAAGTACCTATTTTTCAACTCAATCAAAGATCTCAGAAGGATATAATGTTACCTAAGTTAACAGGAAGTGCATTGCAAGCAACTTCCAAAACTCTAGAATTGGCAGAGACATCTCATTGCCTGGACAGAGTGGACAGCCTTGTTTTGTCTCTGATTTTAGTGGATTGTTTTAAATTTCTCACCATTTAATTTGATGTTGGCTATCAGCTTGATATAGATTGCCTTTATTATGTTTAGGTATCTTCCTGTATCCATAATCTTTCTACAACTTTTATCATGAACGGGTGCTGGATTTTATCAAAGCCTTTTTCAGCATTTAATGAAATGATCTTTTTTTTTCTTTCAATTTGTTTATATGGTGGATTACATTGACAGATTTTCATATGTTCAGTCATCCCTGCATTTCTGGGATGAAGCACACTTGATCGTTAGATTCTACTTTTATCTCTCTTTAGTCTGTCTCTATCTCTCTGTGTCTCTGTCTCTATCTCTCTTTCTCTGTGTGTCTCTCTATGTCTCTGTGTCTCTTTCTTTCTCTAGATATATATCCATCTCACTTCTAGTCATACAAGTTATATTGAAACAAGAACTTTGCTTTGAGTGGTACTCTGCTTTTGTTATGGATCTGTGATCATCCACCAATTCGCCAGTGTGACTCAGGTTTTAATTTTTGTAAAAATAGAAGGTGTTTATTTTAAAAATTGGCCAGGACCAGACCAGAGAGCACTCTAGGTAAGGCCTCAGCTACTGTTAGTCCAACTTTTTTAAAGGCAAAATCTACAACATTATAAGTTTGGAGAGCCGAATTAACATATATCCTGTAGTAGGGCAGACCATGCTTGATTTTGTAACAGATGTTCAGCAGATACCTCAGTCATCCAAGCAAGAAGAGAGTGTTTCATACAAAAGCTGAACTTAGCAGTTATCCTATTGACACTGTAACCCATTATCTCATAAGAATATCTGAGGCAGTGAAAGATTTACATTAATCAACAGTTTTTAAGAATAGCCCAACTGTACCGAGAAGCCCTCCATCTTGGACAAGTTAGCTGGCAGGCTACATTCAAGATAAGAGTTAAGAGTGACCTTCCCATGTATTACAAGCTAAAAAACAATTTTGTTTTTACAAGTCTTTTCAACACAGTAAATTATCATAATGTTCACATCCCACTTCAGCATTTCTCACACTGACACACCCAATAAATGTTGAATGATTCCATTGGTGTGGGCATGTTGAGAACTGTAGCCTCAAGCCAAATTTCCTCAGCCAGTGTTTTAGAATTTAAAGCATTCAATATTTGTACTGTAAAGTGTTTGGCATTAGTTCAGAAAACTTATTACAATGCAGTTTTTTAATAAAGCAAAATTACCATTCATAAAACAATTCTGCCAATCAAAGGCTCCGCTCCACAGTCTTCCTCCTCTAAGTCAACAGTCAACAGGTCCAACTGATCTGATGAACGTGGCAGCTGTATTTCTCAGAGAATTGCCTTCTACAACACTAGACACATAGACAGGTCTGCTCTTTCATGAGGACTACGGTGTATTTGCACTGAACAATTTTCAAATCTATTCTAAATCTGATTTATGCTACTTATTCCCACATGTCTGCCCAGGACTAGACATAGAATTCTGGCTTCAAGATACTGCAGATGACAGCTTACTAATAACATTGCAACGTAGATGTGCAAAGTCATAGAATCTTGTACAGAGAGTCTGGTATTAGATGATAGGTTTTTCATGTGTTAATCCTTCACCTGCTTTAACAGGGTGACTTTGGTTGCTTTCAATGCAGTGTTAGGTTTCTCTTCTCAAAGATACCACCACAATTCTCCGTTCCTAGTCTCGTGGCTTTGTAACTATACATCCTGGGGAACATCCCTTTTATCCTTTGAAAAGTTCAGGATGACCTTTGGTTATCCTTTTCCTTTCAGAGAACTGAAGCAACTGGGCACAAAAAGTTTCTGCAGTTTCCTCTTCAGCTTCTGCACCATGGAGCATGCTTTCACTTATTCCTCATTGCAGCAGCAGGATAAATATAATCTAGTACTTAGTAGATTTCGGTAGCAGCAATATTACAAAACTTATACATATGTATCAGATAAATTAAACAAATACTTGTCATTATGGGGGCATAGAACATCAGAAAAATCACTCTACATGATACAGAAAATGAACTTATCACAAATTATGCTACAAGCAAAGACTAAAACATGTAAACACAAATGCTTTAACAAAATTGAAACATCTGCTAAAAAAATCATCCTCAGCTAGGTATCCTTCAGAAAAAAGTTAAGAATCTGTCAACGCTAGAAACTGTTGTCATCTCCAAGGGGATTAGTTTCTCCAAGAGTCAGGAATGAGTGACTATAGCCCAGTGAGTTATCTCAAATTCCATGTTCCAACATGGTAACAATTTCATAACCTTTTAGCATAACAGAACAAAGTAAACCATATTCAAAACACTTTTCAAATCATTGGTAGAAACATCATGTAGGCAGGTTACAGAAAAAGGGGAACCTCAACTATAAGCCTCCGATGCTCTTTTGACTATATTGATAGGTTTCTGCTGGGTGGAAACTAAAGATCCATTTGTACATACTGAAGGACTTACTTACAACCACAAAGATGTTAGGTCACATACAGAGGTGGGTAAAAAACTGCTATTAAATTGGCTGAAGATGGCCCACGATAATTTGTCTGTGAACTGGCAAAATTACAGGCTTTGTGGTCACAGCTTCTTTCCATACCGTCCACTAAACAAAGCCAAGAGCAAAGACAATGGAAAATATAAAGGGTTTGTTTAGAGACACTAGATGGCACTCTAAAAATATCACATTTCATCTTCTGATTCTTCTTGCTGTTCAAGATTTTTCAGAAGTTGAGTTTCTGAGGTGCAGAGCTTGCTAAGTCTCCACTTCACCAACCTGAGGGGGGGGGGAAACAATCTCTGGTTAGGTGAAATCTAAAACTAAACCTAAAGGCAATGTAAATCTACAGTAAAACAAAGTCCAGATTATTTGTATAGCTGGGATACAACCTTAAAAAGAAAATATTTTTTATTTAGCTTTGAGTTGTTGAAAAGCTATATGGATTAAAGTAAGATATAAGTAAACAGATAAAATATGGGCTTTTAAATTGATCACATCAGAGCATAACTTTGACTATTTCTAAAATAAACCAAAGAATCTATAATCTGTGGCAAGCAGAGATGAATCTGACATCAGTGGAGTTTCTACATTAAGACCAGAACATGTATATTACTAGAAGATGGCTTTTTCTCCAAATAATGTACATGGGGCCATTGCCTTTCATATAGATGTTAGGCCAAGTTAACTAAACCCCACGTCACGTTTGAGCTGGGTTTCAGCTCTTCCTTGGAACTTCAAAAAAGTGCTTCTGTAAGCAGGAAGCTGGCTATTCAACTACAGGTGACATCCATACACACAGTAAACTAAGGAGTTCAGAGAGGTGACAAGCTCCTCTACAGTAGATGGACAACCCTGGAATCCATGGGCACATGAACCAACAATTAGAGTCAGTGGGTGTTTTTTCTAAACAAGAGGACGTGGAGTTGGGAGAGGTTGGTATCTGAAGAGGTTTCGAAAGACTTGGATGGGGAAAATGGGGGCAGCTATGATCAAAATGCATTATATACACATGTAAAATTCTCAAAGAATAAATCTGTTTTTTAAAGTACACAGAAGTACCCTCCAACCTATGCCTGTTTTAGTACAAACTCAGATGGAGGCCTGGAGGAAGTGATGTTTACAGTTACCAACTCTAGAAGGTCTAAAGCTTCTTAGCGGCCAAAGCTGAGCAAGCGCTCTACTTATATAATGTGAGAAGTATGTATGTGAACCATGCAGTTTTTTTCCTACATATGATTGCCATAATGTCATTGTATGCTGTAGCCACACAAGTAGAACAAAATTCTCATAAATTATGAGATGTATGCAAATGAACCTGGTAAGTGGAATTACCAAAATCGTTCTCACTTTATGAAAAACTTCTCTAACCACCTACATGTTGATTTTAACTTTCTGCCTTCCATCTTCTGATGAAGTTTGGACCTGTCCCAAACAGATTCCTACCAGAAGGACGGACAGGGAAATGAGGCTTTAGGAGATGAACATACTTTTCACTTAAACATTTAAGATGGAAGACCTCCTATTTCTTCTCCCTCTCCGAGACAAATACTTGGTGGGCTTTTTTCTGTCAGAGAGAACTATTCTGGGGCATTTTCAAATCTCCTACCAGGGAGGCTCAGGTGAATGTCCTGCATCACGATGCATGTGTCAGAGGCATATCACAAACAACTAGTCCAAGTCTGAATCATTTACTGTTTTGCTGGCAATTTCTGTGTTTCCAGATAGTTTTCTCCTCTACTACTTTGTCTTGTGGGACAGTAATAAAAGAAATTAATTCATGAAAATGATTTGAGTTTTAAGAGTAACTCAGTGAGTCTGATAATCATATTTGATGAATGAAAGTGATTAACTTACCAGGTAACAAGAGCATAACTAATTCCAATGATGACATAGGTCAACGCATAATACAAGCAAAAGCATACAGTGAAAAACAGAACGTTGCTATGATCAGACAGGTCCCATGCATGGTCTTTATTTCTGGGAAACAGGACAAAAGCAACCTGTGTTTCAAAGAAATGACACATAAAATAATCAGGCACACTATCGAAAACTTTTATCCAGAGTACCGACAACTATATGATTGCCAACATCAGAGACAGCACATATGAATCATCATATTTTCCTACCTATTTTGATATAACATAGACATTATTTATCTCGTTGTCTTTTTAAACTATCTCAAAAGAGTGTTAACCCCTAAATTTGCCATCCTTATTAATTCCCTCACTAGTTCCAGTTCTAAGGCTCAGGGAACATCTCAGAAGAGGAGGCAGAAGGAATCTAGGAGCAGAGGATAGGGAGGAATGCTGTGAGATGCTGTCTTCTGAATATGACATGGCTGTCCCACTCATGAACTCACAAAAGATGGGGTTATTTGTCCAAAACCAGCCACAAAATCAAGCCCAGCAAAGTTTTGGTATATGGGAGAAGTGTTCTCCAGGCCCTAACTTTTACCAAGGAGCTACTGAGAGTTTGTAGCTATTGGAGAAGAATCATGCTCTTTAGAGGGTGTGGCCACTGGTAGATTCCCCATGTTGCAGTGGATGATTCCATGCCTGTGCAAGTGTGGGGAGCACTAATTGAACTCAGTAAGCTTTCAAAAAAGAGATGATATGAAATTGGAGAGAGAAGGGCTGGAGAGGGATTCAGGAAATAAGAGGGGTGAAATGAGATAACGATATAAAAATATGAGGAATTCTATGATCATAATTTATTATGTACATAAATGAAATTCTCATGAATGAAGAAAGTTTTTTTAAATATGCAAATGGTCCACAAACAAATGGAAGAGGAACAATGTCATTAGAGAAAGGTAAATCAAAATGGCAGTGGCATATTACTTGCTGCTCACTAGAAGGACAATCGTAATAGTAAATATAAAATACAAATGTTGGTGAGAATACAGAGGAATCAGAACCCTTAAACCTGTTATGATAAAAGTGAAACTGTTATGATGAAAATGAAACTGTTATGATGAAAAAGACTGACAGTTTCTCAGAACTCATGTGAAATGCAAATGCTTGAAGTAGCTTCATCAATCCAGATATCTGCTTTCTGGTGACTAGAAATCACTAGACCGCCCTATTTGAGCAACATACTGCTTCCATTCCAGAGAGTCTTTACATCTCTAAGTGCATACCAAAGTACAATTAATCAGACATCATAAAATATGCAATCATTGATTGGAATTCTGATTTCAACATAATAGCGAGGTTAGAGAGCTGACATCTTCAAATGGAAAGAGACTGTGGGTTGAGATCAAACAAATCCAGACTTAAGTCCTCGTTCAGATTATTTGTTTGTTGGTCGGTAGCCTGTGTAACACAATGTAAACCCTAGAGCAGTGGTTCTCAACCTGTAGGTTATGACCCCTTTGGAGTCAAGCAACCATTTCACAGGAGTCACCTAAGACCATCCTGTATATCAGATATTTACTTTATGATTCAAAACACTAGAAAAATTACAGTTGTAAGGTAGCAATGAAAATCATTTTGTGGTTGGGGGTTACCACATGAGGAACTGTATTAGAGGGTTGCAGGCAGCATTGGGAAGGTTGAGAGCCACTGCCCTAGAGACAGTAAGAAATCTGAAGCAGAGATAAGAGGCTCCTTGATGTTCCCCTTAGTCTAATGGCCAAAGTCTCAGTCTGGTATAGATTTTATTCAAAACAGAAAGATGCATTCATCTTTGCTTTCATCTTTAGTGTTTAACCATTTTCCATGCCCCACATCTATCAATGGAATTGGAAAAGGAATAAGGTGAAGGTATTTTGGTGAGTGTCAAACATAGTCACCTCTTGGTCTATACCCATCCAGGATTCCTGCTTGAATTCCCATAATATCCTGTATGTGATGGTACTTTCTCCACTAACATGGATGCCTGCCTGTTAAGCTTAATTTATATGGAAATAATTAGCAAAGAATTGACTAGTTTCATGATTGTATGAGCCTTGCAAAAGAATCTATAATCTTCTTGAGTCTTCCTATTGGTAAGTTAGAGATGGTAAGACTTAACTGTTACATTATCATAAACAGAATGAAGTTCAATGTCCTTAAAAATCCAATAAAAGATAGACATGGCATACACCTATAACCACAACACTAGGGATGCTGAAGCCTTGAATTCTAAGATTCTGAGTTCAAGGCTAACCTAGGATACCTAGTGAGACTCTCTCTCAAAAAAAAAATTTCAATACAGTGGCAAATACACACTTGTTTCTCAAGAAACAGGTTCCTCCCTTGTCTACTTGACATACATTTCTGGAACTTACTACTGAGAAAGCTATAAGCTATCTTATTATCAAGAACTGACAATAACTAATATCAGTGTTTCTACATAATAGATAACCAGATGTCTGATAACAGGCACATTCTACTTCCTGCTCAGCTGCTCTACCACTGTTCCTACTGGAACCTCAGGTCACCTAAAGACATTACCTCTTAAAGACCAACAGTTTCACTATAGGCAACAAGTCATAGGAAAGTGTCTGAACTCCATAAGAAACTATGCCACTAAATAAGGAGAGAAACCATGGGTCAAAAAAAAAATGAGCCAGCTGGAGGTTTTAACTCACCTGAAAGAACCACATCCCATGTAGCATGACGAAGCTCGACCTCAGGAGTGCCAGAACTACATTGTTCTTTGTGAATAATTCTATAAAGGCAACCAGACCTGCTAAAAATATAGCGAAGCTCAACAGTTGGTGCCCAAAGGTGTCCACCAAGGCCCGGCCATGTGTGTGATTGTGGAAAATAAAAGCTAATGGGATAGAAAAAAATTTTAATAAGAACTAAAGACAACCAAGTCATCACTTTTCAGCCTTCTTCCCTCTCTAGCCAACCTACACAACTGATAGTAAGATGAGATCCCCACTGAGCCTCAGGGCAAGGCAGCTTGCACTTTTTTCCTGGTAAAGTGGAATCATGGAAATTTAACCCTCCTTTTGCTTCTTCAATCTGTCTTTTCTCCTCTACCATGAAACTGTCAGCTAACTGCATTTAAAGGCATTAATATGCAGGCTGATGAATAATAAACATGACAGGGCAGGGAGCACATGAATACACAGATGAACAGCTGGAGCCAAAGCCTTGCCTTGAGGATTTCAGTGCCCTGAGAAAAGTAGACACACCCAGAATTCACACCTTGAGAGGTAGGGCAGCCTTATCTTCAAGCAGCACCTACTACGGTGTTTCATTACATAAACATGTTCCAATTTCACCTTGATAGTTTTCATCAAGATAAAAGAAAAGAATGTTCATTAAAGACATGAGAACCAGGCTATTAGTTATGGAGATTCTTTCGTGTCTTTTTTTTGGCCCTAGTACTTGAAACACAACAGATAAGAAATACTTTCTTTCTTCACTGGAAGGAAATGAACAGTTGCCTCCTAACCACTGGGAGCTTTTGGAGCTACATCATTAATCTCCTTTTTCATGTGCATACTAAATGAAGAAAAAACATTAAAGACCTTTAAAGACCTTTTCCTCACCCAACTCAGCAATCTTAGAGAAAACAAATGAAAAAAACATATGATTTGTTTTTAATTAACTTCTCAAACTTAGGTCTTCCACTACTAATGTGGTGGAAATCGGCAGACTCAACTTCACACACACTGACCAAGTTTAATGTGTCAGTAATTTAAAAGCTAGGTGGCAGGTGGCAGGATCTATTTTGCTGCTAACATCTAGCTATCCCAGTTGAAGATCCATGCTTCCATTACTCTCAGGGTTTAATTTTCTTTGTTAAAAGTATAAAGAAGATAGCTTCTAAGAAAACAAAGAAGGTGATTCTTCAGGATAGGTGTGAAACATGCACAAATCACAAATGGTTGTGCCTGCTCAATCTTGCAGAATGAGTTTGTAGAGATGAAAAATTCTTTGATGTGAGATTTCCCTCTATATGCTATGAATACCAGTGGTTAATTTTTTAAAAAACTGTCTTAGGCCTGTGATAAGGTAGAGTTGATCTGGGTGGGGAAAACTAAACTGAATGCTGAAAGAAAGGAGGTAGAGTCAGAGAGAAGCCGTGTGGCCCTGATGGAGCTGGACAGAACTTTACCCAGTAAGCCTCAGTCTCATGGCGATACACAGATTACTTAGAAGTGGGTTAAATTAAGATGTAAGAGTTAGCCAATAAGAAGTTAGAGCTAATGGGCCAAACAGTGATTTAATTAATACAGTTTCTGTGTGGGTATTTCAGGTCTGAGCTGCCGGGCGGCTAGGAAACAAACAAGTAGCTGCTCATACAACAATCCTTGGCATCCTATAGAGCATAGCCAAGTATCTCAGTATGGCCCAGATACTTTGCCCTGCCAATCAGGACTATACTAAGAAAGCAAAGATATTTTATTATACAGGGCTATCCAGATGTTTACGATGTGGGATCCCCTCTGCATGTTGTAAATATGGTTTTTTTTTTTTTTTTTTTTTTGGCCATTGGTTAATAAAGAAGCTTAACAGAGTAAAGCTAGGTGGGAAAACTAAACTGAATGCTGGGAGAAAGAAGGCAAAGTAAGGAGAAGCCACGTAGCTGCCCACAGGGGACAAAAGCCTCCACTGGAGCCCACCAGAACCCCCTGCCGGTAAGCTACAATCACATGGCAATACACAGATTAATAGAAATGGGTTTATTTAAGATATAAGAGTTAGCCAGAAATATGCTTAAGCTATTGACCAAAGAATATTGCAATTAATACAGATTTCTGTGTGATTATTTTGGGTCTGAGCATCCAGGAACGAACGAACAAGCAGCCTATGTCAACATTTACTATGAGAGACAAATACAGCAGAGAGACAGAGAGAGAGACAGAGAGAAAGACAGAGAGAGACAGAGAGGGAGGGAGGGCGGGAGGGAGGGAGGGAGGGAGGGACGGAGGGAGGGAGGGAGGGAGATGAAAACACTACTCCTCCATACTTACCATCCACAAAGCAGGCATTTGCTAACATTAACTTGACCAAAGAGACTGGAAGTGAACGAATGATGAAACATAAGATCTTGGTCCCACCTAGCAATGCAAAGAAGACATACATGGCAAGATGATGCCAGTGCAGGATTAGGGCCAACTGGGATTCTTTATCTGAGAGCTGATTTCGCTTTCCAAGCACAAGGTAGAGACCAATTATTCCTGTAGAAAATCACACCACAGTTTTAACAACACTCTACTTGATTTTACCTAGCACACACATGCAAGAAGATATGAGCATTGCTTATTTCAATCTACTAGGTCCTCTTATAACATTGCGAGAGAGAGAGAGAGAGAGAGAGAGAGAGAGAGAGAGAGAGAGAGAGAGAGAGAGAGAGAGAGAGCAGTGGGGTGTAGTGCTACATGCCTTTAGTCTCAGCACTAGAGAGGAATATAAAATAAGAGGAGACAGGTCTCAGCTCAGCCTCATTCTGAGGATTTGTGGAGGCAGTATTACCATTTTGGTCTGAGGTAAGAACCAGTGGCTGGTTGCTTTGCTTTTCTGATCTTCAAGTTGAACCCCAGTCTCTGTCTCTGGATTTTTATTATTCGTGCTACACTGGGCAGTTCCCTCACAGCTTTGTGGTGACACTTTAGACTTCATTAGAGCTTCAAGTGCTGATTGAGAAAACCAATTTTAGTCCCAACCAATGCTGATGATTTTGGTTCAAGTGTCTATTCCAACCGAACGTCCAAGGTTTATGAGACTGTGTTATAGAGGCTAACTGTTCGTTTCCTAACTACCTGACCTTTGGATTGCCACTAGGTAAAGGACTGGCCTTGGTTTCAAAACAAAATTTCTTAAGTTCAAAACAAAAATTCTTAAGATCCAGCTTCCTCCAGCAAAGGATAAGCAAGAAGCCCCAATTGATGTAGAATGTGGTATTGTCACTTATACAAGTACTTGAATTTTCAGAGATGTCGGTTCACTTACTAACATATATAAGTTTGCAGATAAGTTCCCTTTGGAAACAATTAGTGTGAGTCATATCTAAAACCTCTTTCCATGAAGTAAGCACAAAAAAAAAAAACACCCAAAGAGTCTTATCTTTTATAATAGGCTACAATGAAACTAAAAGTCGACTACTTTTATAGTATTTTCTAAAGCAATTGAAAAGTTTTATAAATTATTGGACTAACTACTCTCTTTAGTAGTTCAGGACATTAAAGGAAAAGGAAAAGATCATGAAGCAGGCTTTCCTTGACCATGGCCCCTCTCCATAACCTTTCAGCAATGTTGATTATTTTGCATCATTTGAAATTACTTCTAATAGCATTTATTCTTGTAGAGATCAGAAAAAATGATAAGTAATAATTGTAGAGGATCTAGTCAATTCCACTAAAGAAATTCACCACGATTGAGTAGGTAAATTAAATACTACAATTAACTTATTAAGAAGTGGGCCTATGTATAAGCCTGAAATACCACATTGCTAATAAATTATATCATAGAGAAATTGTAATAGAACATTTAATAAGTATTTTTGAATAAGATATTCTGCTCTGGAATTTCTTGATTTTGTTTTAAAAAAAGGAAGGAAAAAAGAAAGAAAGTTTCTATGCATATAAAAACACCAAACTAAGAAAATACAACACAGTAAGTCAATTCACCTACTAATACCACGCCAGTAATCAGAATTCCTTCCACAATTTCTGCTCGAAAGAAGAATTCCTTGGTAATAAGGGAGGAAGACCTCTTTTGCTGTCGACAAACATGCTCCAGTATGTGCTTTATACTCCACCAAAGACTTAGGACAAAGAAAAGTGTTCCAGGAAGGACATGACCTGGAAAATCCCCCATGACCTACAAAGAAAAGAATATAAAGATGATAGATATTTCATTTCTGGAACATCATCAAATTATTTCTCACTGTTAAACAGCAGACTAGCTTCTGATAGTTATTAGCACAATGTAGATCATATTTTAGTATCAACTATGCCGGTAACATTAAAATTCACTTTGACACTTGATAGTGCACATTATAGGAGATGTTTTCAATGCCATCTCTAGTCCAGCTTTCACAGCATACCCATGAATAAGGGATTGATATCCAATTTTCAATTGAGGTATGAGTTTACAGGAGCTAAATGACTTCCCCAGATCTCACAACTACTAAGCAAACTTTTGTTGGTTTTTAACAGAAGGCTAAAGATAGTTTCTTAGAAAGGCAGCATGTACTTTATTAACCTCTTCTTCTTTAAGTATAAATGATATGAATCTTGACCTGATCATTTAGAATTTGAAATGATGTGAAGTTGCCTATGAATTTTTTTCCACACATGTGGTTTCAGAGAACCAAGGATCAAGTGTGAGAGAGACTGTTAACACTCATCCAACATTTGTGTGTTCTTCCATGTGCCTTCTCAGCCTCTCATGTGGATGGGTGGAAACCTTGGTTTTAGTTCTCGCTAACTGACTGAGCGAGAAATTGGCACATATCACATCTAGGTTAAGTCACTGATGTCTACATGATTCCTCGGTTTTTCTTCTTCGGCGCTCTCTCCTACAGTTCTCTCTTCTGTACTGGCATACCCTGACTGTAACACAGAAGACTGTCGCTGGTCAGTGCTATAGAAAAGACGGTCTTGCCCATTGTGATATTATTTTTATTTGTGGGCCATCCTTTGTTCAAATATATTGTGCCTTCAACAGAATGAGGATGACACAGTCTAGAATCATTCTATGGGTCTAATGCTAGATAAGCACTAAGCACAATTATGAAAGGGGATTTCAGGATATTCTCTGATTGGAAAACTAGGATCCCCCAGTTCAGGACAGTGCCCTCTGGGTAACTCCTCTATGTTCTGAAGGGAAGCTCTGGGAGAAACTGGGAAGCTGACCCAAGCAACATTGTCAGTATCATATCTCCAATGAANTTATTGTAGGAAAAACAATATATATAACAACAATATAAAAACAACATATATATTGTTTTTCCTACAATAACTGTAATATAACTTGAAATCTGATACAGTAGTCCCTAGAGTGCTGTTATTTTTGTTTAAGATTGGTTTGACTCTCTAGAGTATGGGGTTCTGTGTGAATTTTAAGTTTTTTTTCTAATTCTGTGAATAATGTCATGGTGATTTTGTTTTGTAGGTGAATCTATAAATTGTTTTTTGCACATTGGCCTTTTCCACAATCTTACTTCTACCAATCCTTGAGCATGGTGATTCTTTCTGTCTTCTAGTATGTTCCTCAGCCTCTTTATTCAGAGGTATAAAGTTTTATTGTAGTTGTCCTTCACCTCCTTGGTTAGGCTTATTCCAAGATGTTAGGGGCCATTTCCACTGGAGGAGTATATAAGAAAAAACTTGCTTCAATAAACAAGACCTTGACAATAATTTTGCTTGGTCTCCGTTTCTTTCTCTCTCACCCATGTTCTTTCAGATAGTGCCTCTTCATGACTCTAAAATAACTAAACCTGCTGGGCGGGTCACCAAGATATGATATTGTCTTTGATGCTACTGAGAATGGGCGTGTTTCCAGGTTCTCATTTTCAGTGTGTTTGTTATTAGATATTTGTTATTTAAGGTTGCTTTCAATCTACTGACTGTTTTCAGCACATGGTTACCAAAACACACACTCTTTCTCCTAGGTCAGGGACATGGGAGAGTATATAATCATAGATGAGAGTTATGCTTTTTGTTTTGCTTTTTCAAGATAGTGTTTCTCTGTGTTACAGTCCTGGCTGCCAATCTGTAGACAGTGTGGCCTTGAACATACAGAGATCTTTCTGCCTCTGACCCACAAGTATTGGGATTAAAGGCTGCACCATCTCTTCCCTAGAGATATGTTTTTAACACAGGTTGAAAAAGATGATTACATGGGAAGTGCAAATCAAGGAAGTTTTATTACATTGTTTTCTTTGAAGTACGTTAAGTCTAAACAGGCTGAATATACAGCAGGATTAAATACTAGTGCATAACTTTAAATGATCTCAAAGCACTTTGTTAAGTTGGCAGAAATTCAATCTCCTTGGAGATAAAAAGTATTTTCAAAAAAAATATTACTGTTCATCTAGGTCATTTTTTTTCTTTTTTTTTTATTGAGAATAGGGAAAAAAAAGTTTCCGCCTCCTCCCAGCCTCCCATTTCCCTCCCC